ACATCCTACGGGATGCACATGTATGCTTATAATCTTTGATGCTATGATTATACCTACGACTATGAATGTTAGTATGTTGATTAGAACTATCGAATCACTGTGGCATGCTTATATTTATGTAGTTTGCTCATCATTGCTGCACACCGGTGTTAGTGCTCGCTGGTAGAAAAATCCCAGATTTTGATACGATCAAGCTAAGTGACTCACGAACGTCCTCCAATTGGAATTACTCCAAAATTTGTCCATTTGGTCCTATTTTGCTCCAGAAGAAGTCGAAAGTCCTATATTAGAAATGCAATTCAAAGTATCAAAATTCTTCCAAAATATTGACCAAAATATACTAAGATTAGGGTAAAATATATAATATAAAATCTACTCATCACTCGCCCAGGCCCAAGGCCAGTCTTTCATGTATATGTTCACCTCTGCACCACATGCTAGCCTTGGATCCAAGTAGGTGCCAGTCCTGTCGTACATGTTTCATTAGGCAACTCCGACTCGTAGGTGATTACGAATAGTGCCAATCTTCACATGATTGTAGTACTAGAGCGTATATTATGATTACACCCAGTCTTGTTGTACATGTCGCATTAGGCGACTCCAACTCGTGTGCTAGTAAATATTGATGAGCACCTGATTTTACTTATATTACTGTTAAGATTTTGTGATTTTGGATGTCCTGCCCTTAGTTACGAGATATTGTGCCGTAATGAATTCTTGAGATTTTGCAGGCTATGGTAAGTATTTTTATACTATACGTAGTAAGTATATTTTGGAAACTATACTTGTTTTACGGCAAGAGGTTATAATGTTTTCAAAAACTTTTCTTATAAAACTTTATTTTTTGGCCCACTCACCCTTGTTTTTTATTGCCCCTCCAGGATTTTAATGGCAGAGTGTTCGTGGCGACGAGGATAGTGGCAAAAGCTATTATGAAGGAGACTTCTCCTTTCGGTATAAATGTTCTCACTCCTATTTACTGCAATTTATCTATGCTCTGATATCACATGTGAAATGGGTTCATTCCCACTCATAGCACACTTTTATATTTAGTTACTTTTAGGTTTAAATTTATTCACATTTTTCACAACACTACACCTTATGGCTTCGTCACTTTCCAAGTGTCGGCCAACATATCGCGATTCGGGTGTCCAGGTGGACATTCTAGGTCGGGGTGTGTCATTCTATGCTTTCTTCTTGCTATTTTTTTTTTCAACTTTTCCGCTTTCTCATTTGCCTCATGCATCATACAAGTCATTTTTTATTTTGTAGTAGTAATAACTTGCTTTTAAGCTTCATAAGCTTCCTGGAGAGCTTTACTTTTCGAAGAATGCTTCGCTGCTCAGTAATAATTCCTGGTTCATCCGCAAAGCAACCCCAAGCACTTGGTTTCCCTTTTCTGGACACTTTTGTGTAAATTCTGTTGCGAACCTCTATTATTACCTCTTCAGCCCACTCACGACGTCACCAGCCCTTGTTCTCAATTATGCAGAACTTGATCAAATTAAAAAGAAACTCAAGTGTATGGAGCAACCTTGTTTGAAATCTTCTATAGAAAAATTAGTTAAAGAGTGTTGACGTTTTATAATAAAATAAAGGCACAAATATGTAATTGTGCCTACATATTATTTTGCTGTCTTGGGAAGTGGAATAATTTATTATTTTAATATTAGTGCCAAAAAATGAAATTTATAATAGGTAAATTACATTTTACCACCTCTGGTTTGAAGTTTGTTGCAACCTCATACAACATCTTTAAAGAAAATTCACTTTCATACCTCACGTACTATTTTATTTCAATATAATACATCTGTTACATTTTCCATCCATTGGTCCGTTAAGAGTTGACGTGGCTACCACATTTGTGCCACGTGGCTGCCAAATTTGTGCCACGTGGCAAACAAAAATTTATGCATTAAAAATATTATCATAATTTACCCTATTTGAAAAAAAAAACTTAGACCCATCTTCCCAACTGACCCACCTTTTCCCTCTCCTCCAATCTCTTCACCTCCCATCCCATCCAAAAAACCCACCCCATCGCACCCCACCCGCACCTCCCCCGCAACCCCCCCACCCCACCCTTACCTCGGCTTCTTCTAAAGGGTCGGCTCGCTTCTACAACATTTGGGAACCAATCGGCTTCGGCGGCGGGTCCAGAACTATCCGGAAGAGGATAAAGCACAAGTTCGATGGTTTCGATAGGAGGAAGGGGACCAATCGATACAACAAAGATGGCAAAGGGTACGATCGTAATTTGATGCATCGGTCCGAGAGCTTATCCGGGTCGAGGAGGTCACCGACAGAGTTTTCTAAAAGGTTTTGATCGGAGCGGGATAGGTCCAAGCGCGAAGGCAGTGGGAGCGGAATGTTGTCGTGGCGGAGGTTCGGGAAGGAGTTCGAGTAGAGAGGAAAAGGGAAGGGGTCGAGGGACGTGAGGTCGCCGACGTGGTCGAATTCGAGGGATTCGGGGAGCAAGCAGTCTAAGGTTAGGTCTCTAGGGAGGTGGGGGTGTGGTAGGATGGGGTGGGTTGATAGATGGGAGGGGAGGTAAAGACTGTGGAGGAGAGGGAGGTGGGTTGGGGGAGAATGGGTTTCCAGGTTTCAGGTCCTTTTATTTTATTTATTTATTTTTTTAATAGTGTAAATTATTATAATATTTTTAACGCATAAAAAAATTATTTTTTTGCCACATGGCACAAGTTTGGCAACCACGTCAGCTTTTAACAGACCAATGGATGAAAAATGTAATAGATGTATTATATTGAAATAAAATAGTATGTGAGGTATGAAAGTGAAATTTTTTGAAGATGTTGTATGAGGTTGCAATAGACCTCAAACCTGAGGTGGTAAAGTGTAATTTACCCTTTATAAAGTGTTAGTATTCAATGGGGACTTCTTTCCAAATTATGTTATTTGCCTATCTTAAGTCACACCACACCTTTGTACAGTTGATTAGACAAAGGATCTTATGGACAAATGTTTTTGTTACGTATCACTGCGTGAAGGACTTTTAATACAATAGAAAAAAAAATACACTCTTACAATAAAGAAAAAAAAATCATATATAACCAAGCATAAAAAACCAGCCTACAGGAGGATAAGAATCTAAAAGCAATTGAAAAAGGCTAAGAATCTATCTAAAAAACTTTCATGGAAGATGGAAATGATCCATCGTAAATCTAAAATAGTGAACTGTAAATAAACAGTTTCTTACCATTATTTACCACAACTTTGTAGATTTAATTTGTAATTTAATTTTTTTGTGTGCTAGATGTAAAGAAAAACGAAAAAGACACATATAGTTGTGCTTATAAATCCACTTTATAGACACAAAAAGTTTTTCGTGTCTATGTTTAGTCAAAAAGTTGTCTAGTCAATCCCACTTCTCACAGTTCTTGTGTCCATTAGTGTTTTGTGTTCTTTTTTTTTACATTGGGCAAAATATGTGGTGCCCTGTGTGGAATGCACACTGTTTCACACTTAAGAGACACAAAATCCTCATTTGTGGCCATTTTGTACTATGATTTAGTGATAATTCTCTTCATTTGTAAGTGAGAGGTTTTAGGTTCTATTCTCGCCAAAGGCGAAGTCAAACCACATTATTATGGCAGGCCCATTGTAAGGTTTAGCCCACTCCCCCATCCATTACTATAGAAACTATCGTTTGTTCAAAAAAAAAAAAAAAATCCTCATATGAGTCCTTAATTTTGTACCCAAAGCCCATTTTTCTTGTAATGTGAATAATCTTGTTGATTAACTAGAAATAAGTCGTTCAAAATTTAAAAAAAAAAAAAACTATCATAAGCAACTTTCCAACAATAAGGCTATAAATTAGGGAGATAAATGTTGTGGAACCAAAAATAATTTCAAAAATCCTGGAAGTGACACGTGAACTTTTAGTCAAGAAAGACAAGATTACCCTCATTAAATGGGCAAGACTCTCAAGCGTCCATACACACAGCTCAACATCCTTGGAAGTTCAAGTAGTTGACTATTACTGCTCAAAGCTTTCCTGCTCGTGGCATGGAAAATTCAAGGGTATTAAAGATAGAGATTAAATACCAAATCCTATCTTTAATACATTTCCAATTAAAGACAAACTCTTTCAAGTAAGTAATCCCAATCATATTTATTCTAGAATTCTTCACAATTATTCCAAGATATCATTTACGCAATATCGTGGAAGTACTCTCACCAAATTCTACCCTAAAGGCCAGCCACTCTCCTTATAAATACCCCATTTCTCCACAAGAAATGGGTAAGCTTTTCTATACACATAAAACCTTAAATACTCACTCTTTTCAGAGAAACTACACGCACCAGCGATGAATGGGGAATTCATCGCTGGTGCGTGAGGTTTTTGGTTTTTGATCAAAGGTATTTGATTGTTTTGTAGGTACATTTTCATATGATACAGGACTTCCATCACTCACCAATGAACGTGCACAACTAGTTATCCTTGTTTTCAGAAGCTAGGTAGTACACCCCCAAACACACAAAAATAACTGCAAAACTTGAGTTGGAGGTCTAATCTAACGCTGCAGAACCTTCTCTTTTCCGTTGATAGGCTCAAGGCTTTCCTTTCCTTGGCGCCCAACCGAGCACACCACAGGTACCGTACATTAAAACCAAACCAACTAACTTTTCCATCAACAACGATCGATCAGTCACTCAGGCCGCCTATAAACATCTCTCTCTCGGCCTCCATTCATTAATTCTAGCTAGTTCAAATTTTCCTCTCTTGTTTCTGTGCATGATCCATCATTGATCAAACTTGGCCACAAACTTACAATGGTTTTTCTTTATCATGACTCCAAACGCTACCCTAATTATGCCAATTCCTGGTGCTTTGTTTCGTTAGCTATTGTCACCCTCTTGAGTACTACTCCACACCCAAGTTTTGCAGAGAAATCCTCAAAATCCGCCGCCAACTTGATCGACAGTTGCTGGAGATGGAACTCAAATTGGGCAAGTAACCGGCAGGAACTTGCGTTGTGCTCTGTCGGATTTGCTGGGAAAATGACCAACAACGTAGGAAGCCATGTCACATTCTATCAAGTCACCGATCCGAGTGACAATGCATTACACCCAAATCCAGGAACTTTGAGATATGGAGCTACCATGATCAAGGGGAAAAAATGGATCACTTTCCAGAGGGACATGCGAATTAAACTTGACAAACCACTGCTCATTAGTAGCTTCACTGCCATTGATGGAAGAGGCGCTAATATTCACATTGCCGGGAATGCATGCTTGACGGTCTTTAAGGCAAGCAACATAATCATCCACGGCCTTCGAATCCACCACTGTCGATCCCAACCACCAAGCTCGGTTATGGGTCCTGATGGAAAGCCATTTCCAGTAGGCCAAGTTGATGGAGATGCAGTCAGGTTAATTACTGCATCCAAGGTTTGGATAGACCACAATACTTTTTATGAGTGCGAGGACGGTCTTCTTGACGTTACTCGTGGATCGACCGATATCACCATCTCCAACAATTGGTTCAGAGACCAGGACAAGGTAATGCTCCTTGGCCACGATGATGGGTACGTTCGGGACAAGAACATGAGAGTCACACTCGTGTACAATCATTTTGGACCCAACTGCAACCAAAGAATGCCAAGGTAATAAACTAACAACCCAACCTTTATTTACTATGAGCCTATGACAACAACACTCCAGGGAAGTAAAAAATTTCTAATAAACGTGATACGGTCACAGGATTCGATACGGATATGCACATGTGGTGAACAATTTGTACAGAAAATGGTCACAGTATGCAATCGGAGGAAGCATGAATCCTAGCGTTAAGAGTGAAGCCAACCTCTTCATTGCTCCAAAACGAGGAAACAAGGAGGTATGTAGTGATATCCTAATCCTATCAAAAATGACGCAAAATAAATAAATGCTAATTCTGTGCACTATTTGTTCCCACACCACAGGTCACTTGGAGGAAGGTCAGTAACAGTATTGGAAGCAAAAGCTCGTGGAAATTTCGTTCTGTAGGAGATATTTTTGAAAATGAGGCTTCTTTCCTCCAAACAAGCCTGCCTGTGGCTGGAGTAATGCCACAATATAAAAGGATACAAAGTTTCCTGGTGGCTCATGCCAAAGCCGTCCGGTCATTGACAAGGTCATCGGGTGCACTAAAATGCACAAAAACATCCAGATGCTAAGTTTTAAGGATTATGAAGATGATCCATGGCAGCAACCACCTCATACTCAAAGTACTCAAGATACATATTACACTCTCTTTCCACACTCTGTAACAAAAGTACCTACTATTTTTACTTCCACAAACATTGCATTCCTAAAAGAGTGGCGTTGCAAAAATGTGTGCTTGTAATAGAAAACATGCATACGATATTACTAAAAAGTAATTAAGAAAGTTAACCAAAAATTTGCTGTCCAGAGCAAGCCATTTTCTTCTTCAATCTTCTTCATTGTCAGAACTCTCATAAGCTAAGCCTAGCAAGCTTTTGGCTCTAGTTTCCACCCTAGGCTCGCCTTCTGTTATGTTTGATGATGACAGGGCATCCACTTTGTCCTTCCCCGACTCATTTTCAGGCTTAAGAATTATTGAAGAACTACCACTCAAATTTGCGTGCGACTGATTACAGTTAGATGAACTTGAAACTTTCTGCCGCTTGGGTTTGATCTCAACCACCTTCTTCAGTAAATCCTGTTGTCTACATTTCCATAAATAAAATACATATATGTGATTGAGAACGAAATGGTAGGATGCTAAATTTATGTTTTGGTTTCAAGAAATATGCCTACCTGATCCCACTTCTTTGTTTGGGCTCGACACGGAGCGACAAGGGAACCGATGCAGGGGAGGAGTCTGCAAGACTTGCAGCTTTGTGTACATTGGTCAAGTAAAACATGAGAGAAACAGGGGGAGGACAGCACCAAGGATATGAGAATATTTTAGAGTCTCGTAAATGTTTGAATAAATTATGTCTGAAGTGATTATAAACATACAACTAAGGTCTTCTTTGGAAGTTCTTTTAGAAGGGCTAGAAGTCCTTCTGACAACTATTTTTGTAGAAAAGGAACTTTTATAGTGCATTCTAGGGAAGCACTCACTTAGGAAACACTTCCAAGTGCTTTGAAGTCTTACAAAAGCACTTATGAATATATGTTATTCTGTGGAAGCACTACCAAACAAGACCCAAGTGCGACTTCTGAAGAACATGCATCAATGTGGTAAGAAATATAGGAATTTAACACATAAACATAAACAGGGGTTTACAAATACTACAGAATACAAATAAAGATAAGAAAACAGTAAATCGAAAAACAAGATAAAAATGAGTGTAATACAACAACAACAACAACAACAACAAAGCCTTTTCCCACTAAGTGGGGTTGGCTATATGAATCCTAGAACGCCATTGCGCTCGGTTTTGTGTCATGTCCTCCGTTAGATCCAAGTACTCTACGTCTTTTCTTAGGGTCTCTTCCAAAGTTTTCCTAGGTCTTCCTCTACCCCTTCGGCCCCGAACCTCTGTTCCGTAGTCACATCTTCGAACCGGAGCGTCAGTAGGCCTTCTTTGCACATGTCCAAACCACCGTAACCGATTTTCTCTCATCTTTCCTTCAACTTCGGCTACTCCTACTTTACCTCGGATATCCTCATTCACAATCTTCTCCTTTCTCGTGTGCCCACACATCCCACGAAGCATCCCTATCTCCGCTACACCCATTTTGTGTACGTGTTGATGCTTCACCGCCCAACATTCTGTGCCATACAACATCGCTGGCCTTATTGCCGTCCTATAAAATTTTCCCTTGAGCTTCAGTGACCTACGACGATCACACAACACGCCGGATGCACTCTTACACTTCATCCATCCAGCTTGTATTCTATGGTTGAGATCTCCATCTAATTCTCCGTTCTCTTGCAAGATAGATCCTAGGTAGCGAAAAAACGGTCGCTTTTTGTGATCGTCGCTAGATTGCTCCGGTCATTAGTGTGGATAAGTATATAAATGGATAGAGATAGGAAAGCAAACACCAGATGTACGTGGTTCACCCATATTGGCTACGTCCATGAAATAGAGGAGTTCTCATTAATTGTGAAGGGTTTACACAAGTACATAGGTTCAAGCTCTCTTTTAGTGAGTACAAGTGAATGATTTAGTACAAATGACATTAGGAAATATTGTGGGAGAATGATCTCGTAATCACGAAACTTCTAAGTTCCGGAGTGTGGTATCGTCTTGACTTGCCTTATCTGTCTCGTAGGTAGATGTGGCATCTTCTCTGGAAGTACTCTTCCTCCATCCAGGGGTGGTATCTTTAACTGGTGGAGATGCACAAGGTAATGTATCAATTTCACTTGAAGCTTACTTGTAGTTTCAGGCTTGGTCAAGCGCGATACAAACCATGTAGTAGGAGTCCTCCAAGTCGCCGAACTAGGGGATCTGCTGAAAGAAAGAGGTGACAGACAAGGTAAAGCAATCAGAGCTCCAAGCAATCAGTCCCAGATCAGAACTTTGATTTCGAGTTTCGGCTGATTGTTCACATTCTCCCTATCTTGCAGGCAGCATGAAGGATAAAGAGAAGAAAAAATGAGAAGAGATGATATGGGATACTTTTGCTTTTGAAGAAGTAACTTTCCACAGGCTTATTCTTGAACTGGGCTGGAGGGTTTTCTGGTTTCCTCCAGAGTATAAGGCCGACTGAAGAATTTGAGGGTCAAAACAAGTCCATCAAATCTATAGTACGTTCGACCCTGCTGATATGGGATACTTTTGCTTTTGACAGAGTAGTGGATGTATCGGCACGTGTGCTGTTACGCTTGTCTCCACATGCTTCCTTGTATCCTTCTCACTTGCCCTATATGTTCCTCAGGCAGATGCGGTATCTTCCCTGGAAGCATAAGATGTTGAAGATGAGTACTCGAGAGCAATGCCAGGTAAGTAATCAAGTAAGGGGTTCCAGGCAGTCAGTTCCTGACTGGAAGCTTGATTCCAAGTGCTGACTGATTGCTCTCTTTCTCCTTGTCTTGTAGGTAAGAACAAGGCCAAAGGAAAAGACAGGGAAAAAACATGATATGGGATACTCTTGCTTTTAACCCTGATGATATGAGATATTCTTGCTCTAGTATAGCTTGTTTGCAGAGGTATTATCGGGGGGAAAGAAAGCTGAATATTTCGAAAGGCTTCTTTGGGAGTGCCCTCTCAGATATGAGGAAGGGTTGAGCATTTTTGCAGGTCTGCCTGTCTGTTGGGGATGGAGGTCAACATATATAGGAGTCTCCCTAACAACAAGTAGTAATGCTATTCCCTTACCCTGCTTGGTCATAACACGGTAGTGGGAGCTGCCAGCTTCACATGTTTTAACTTTGTCAGAGCACTTTGAAAAAGTGGTCTGTGGTATCTGGAAAGCTGATGTTGCGTGTAAACAAGCTTTATCCAAGGAGATCCGGCTCTTGAAGTTGGGAAAGTGGTGCCTCTTCGGTTTTCGAACAAGCAATCATGTCGAAGATCTGGCTCTCGAGATTCGGAGAATGATGCCTTTTCGATTTTTGAGAAAGCCATCCTGCTAGGGGTCTGGCTCTCGAGATTCGGAGAGCGGTGTCTCTTCGATTTTTGAGAAAGTAATCATGTTGGGAGTCTGGCTCTCGAGATTCGGAGGGCGGTGCCTCTTCGATTTTGGAGCAAGCAGTCTTGTTAGGAGTGTTTTTTCGAATGTGAGAAAAGGTTGGGCATGTTTGCTAGTCTATCTTGCCACGAAGCACAGAGGTTGACACACAAGGACTTTCCAATTATCCAGCAGTGGTACTGTTCCTTTACCTTTGTGGGTAATAATATGGTAGCTAGACCTTCAAAATTTATGTGTCTAAACTTTGTTAGTGCTGTTTCTTTGCTATTCTTTTACCCTTCTTGGTCAGAGCGGTGTAGTGGGAGCTGCAAGCTTCACGTGTCTCAACTTTGTCAGAGAACTTTGGCAAAGTTATCTGTGGTACCCATGAGCTAATGTTGCGCGTGGGAAGTGGGTGCTTGAACAGTAAGATTCATGTGCTTTCTACTTCACCAGAAATCTTCGACATAATGCCCATAATTTCCGCAAAGCTGACAGGTGCTAACAAGGTTGGAAAAGTAGGTGCCTCTTCGATTTCTGAGATCGGCCCTCGTGGTCTCTGAGCAGCCCAGCTTTTGAGAAAGCAAGCGCCTCTTCGATTTCTGAGATCGGCCTTCGTGGTCTTTGAGCAGCCCAACTTTTGAGAAAGCAAACGTCTCGTGGTCTCTGAGCAACCCAGCTTTTGAGAAAGCAAACGCCTCTTCGATTTCTGAAGCTCTGTCGAGTGCAGATTTTTATAGAGGCTGGCATTAAGTTCCAAAGCACACTTGAATCTCCAACAGTAGAAGCTCCATTCTTGCACTTCTAAGATCTTGATTTGTCCGACCTCTTCTCTCTTCAACACCTTTGAAAATGTCTGGCCCCTTCGACCGTCGTTTTGACTTGAACCTTGTTGAAGAGGCAGCCACGCCTTCTCCAGACAACATATGGCGCCCATCCTTCGTCTCCCCTACTGGTCCTCTTACTGTTGGGGATTCCGTGATGAAGAATGATATGACCGCTGCGGTAGTGGCCAGGAACCTTCTCACTCCCAAAGATAACAGACTACTTTCCAAACGGTCTGATGAGTTGGCTGTTAAGGATTATTTGGCTCTCAGTATTCAGTGTGCAGGTTCTGTGTCTAACATGGCCCAACGCCTATTTGCTCGAACCCGCCAAGTTGAATCATTGGCGACTGAAGTGATGAGTCTCAAACAGGAGATTAGAGGGCTCAAGCATGAGAATAAACAGTTGCACCGGCTCGCACATGACTATGCTACAAACATGAAGAGGAAGCTTGACCAGATGAAGGAATCTGATGGTCAGGTTTTACTTGATCATCAGAGATTTGTGGGTTTGTTCCAAAGGCATTTATTGCCTTCGTCTTCTGGGGCTGTACCGCGTAATGAAGCTCCAAATGATCAACCTCTGCTGCCTCCTCCTTCTAGGGTTCTGTCCAGTACTGAGGCTCCAAATGATCCCCCTCCAGTGCCTGCTCTTTCTGGGGCTCTACCGACTACTGAGACTTCTCCTAAGCAACCTTTGTGAAGGCTCCCTCTTGTTTGTTTATTTTGACTCATGTATATGTACATATTTGTGACTTATCGGGGATATCAATAAATAGCTTTCCTTCATTTCAACGTATTGTGTTGAATACACCAAAGCCTTCTTCGCTAAGTTCTCTGAATTTTCTTTTGTTGAAGCTTGTATGTTGAAGCTTTGTGAGTGGAGCATGTAGGTTGAGGTAGTATTCTCTTAATTTCCCGAGTGAGGAAAACTTCTCGGTTGGAGACTTGGAAAATCCAAGTCACTGAGTGGGATCGGCTATATGAATCTTTGAACGCCATTGTGCTCGGTCCTGTGTCATGTCCTCCGTTAGATCCAAGTACTCTAAGTCTTTTCTTAGAGTCTCTTCCAAAGTTTTCCTAGGTCTTCTTCTACCCCTTCGGCCCTGAACCTCTGTCCCATAGTCGCATCTTCTAATCGGAGCATCAGTAGGCCTTCTTTGCACATGTCCAAACCACCGTAACCGATTTTCTCTCATCTTTCCTTCAATTTCGGCTACTCCTACTTTAACCCCGGATATCCTCATTCCTAATCTTATCCTTTCTTGTGTGCCCACACATCCAACGAAGCATCCTCATCTCCGCTACACCCATTTTGTGTACGTGTTGATGCTTCACCGCCCAACATTTTGTGCCATACAGCATCGCCGGCCTTATTGCCGTCCTATAAAATTTTCCCTTGAGCTTCAGTGGCATACGGCGGTCACACAATACGTCGGATGCACTCTTCCACTTCATCCATCCAGCTTGTATTCTATGGTTGAGATCTTCATCTAATTCTCCGTTCTTTTGCAAGATAGATCCTAGGTAACGAAAACGATCGCTCTTTGGTATTTCTTGATCTCCGATCCTCACCCCTAACTCGTTTTGGCCTCCATTTGCACTGAACTTGCACTCCATATATTCTCTCTTTGATCGGCTTAGGCGAAAACCTTTAGATTCCAACACTTCTCTCCAAAGGTTAAGCTTTGCATTTACCCCTTCCTGAGTTTCATCTATCAACACTATATCGTCTGCGAAAAGCATACACCAAGGAATATCATCTTGAATATGTCCTGTTAACTCATCCATTACCAACGCAAAAAGGTAAGGACTTAAGGATGAGCCTTGATGTAATCCTACAGTTATGGGAAAACTTTCGGTTTGTCCTTCATGAGTTCTTACGGCAGTCTTTGCTCCTTCATACATATCCTTTATAGCTTGGATATATGCTACTCGTACTCCTTTCTTCTCTAAAATCCTCCAAAGAATGTCTCTTGGGACCCTATCATACGCTTTTTCCAAATCTATAAAGACCATGTGTAAATCCTTTTTCCCATCTCTATATCTTTCCATCAATCTTCGTAAAAGATAGATTGCCTCCATGGTTGAGCGCCCTGGCATGAACCCGAATTGGTTGTCCGAAACCCGTGTCTCTTGCCTCAATCTATGCTCAATGACTCTCTCCCAGAGCTTCATTGTATGACTCATTAGCTTAATACCCCTATAGTTCATGCAATTTTGTACGTCGCCCTTATTCTTGTAGATAGGCACCAAAGTGCTCGTTCGCCACTCATTTGGCATCTTCTTCGTTTTCAAAATCCTATTGAAAAGGTCAGTGAGCCATGTTATACCTGTCTCTCCCAAAACTTTCCACACTTCGATTGGTATATCGTCTGGGCCTACTGCTTTTCTATGCTTCATCTTCTTCAAAGCTACAACCACTTCTTCCTTCCGGATTCGACGATAAAAAGAGTAGTTTCTACACTCTTCTGAGTTACTCAACTCCTCTAAAGAAGCACTCCTTTCATGTCCTTCATTGAAAAGATTATGAAAATAACCTCTCCATCTATCTTTAACCGCGTTCTCTGTAGCAAGAACCTTTCCATCCTCATCCTTGATGCACCTCACTTGGTTTAGGTCCCTTGTCTTCTTTTCCCTTGCTCTAGCTAGTTTATAGATATCCAAGTCTCCTTCTTTGGTATCTAGTCGCTTATACATATCGTCATAAGCCGCTAACTTAGCTTCTCTCACAGCTTTCTTCGCCTCTTGCTTCGCTTTTCTATACCTTTCACCATTTTCATCGGTCCTATCCTTGTATAAGGCTTTACAACATTCCTTCTTAGCCTTCACCTTTGTTTGTACCTCCTCATTCCACCACCAAGATTCCTTTTGGTGTGGGGCAAAGCCCTTGGACTCTCCTAACACCTCTTTTGCTACTTTTCGGATACAACTAGCCATGGAATCCCACATTTGGCTAGCTTCCCCCTCTCTATCCCACACACACTGGGTGATTACTTTCTCTTTGAAAATGACTTGTTTTTCTTCTTTTAGATTCCACCATCTAGTCCTTGGGCACTTCCAAGTCTTGTTCTTTTTTCTCACTCTTTTGATATGTACATCCATCACCAACAAGCGATGTTGATTAGCCACGCTATCTCCTGGTATAACTTTGCAATCCTTACAAGTTATACGATCCTCTTTCCTCATTAGAAGAAAATCTATTTGTGTTTTTGACGACCCACTCTTGTAGGTGATCACATGTTCTTCTCTCTTCTTAAAGAAGGTGTTGGCTAAGAAGAGATCATATGCCATTGCAAAATCCAAGATAGCTTCCCCATCCTCGTTTCTCTCCCCAAAACCATGGCCACCATGAAAACCTCCATAGTTGCCTGTCTCCCTGCCCACGTGTCCATTTAAATCTCCTCCTATAAATAACTTCTCCGTCTGAGCAATTCCTTGCACCAAGTCTCCAAGGTCTTCCCAAAATTTCTCCTTCGAACTCATATCCAACCCTACTTGAGGTGCGTACGCACTAATCACATTGATAAGTTATTGTCCTATTACAATCTTGATTGCCATGATTCTATCTCCTACCCTCTTGACATCTACAACATCTTGTGTCAAGGTCTTGTCCACGATGATGCCAACACCGTTTCTCGTTCTATTTATGCCCGAGTACCAAAGTTTAAACCCTGAGTTTTTTAGATCCTTTGCCTTAAGACCAACCCACTTAGTTTCTTGTAGGCACATAATATTTATCCTTCTCCTCACCATAACTTCCACTACTTCCATAGATTTTCCCGTTAAGGTTCCTATATTCCACGTTCCTAAACGCATTCTACTCTCCTGTCTACCCTTCTGTCCTAGCTTCTTCACCCTCCCCCCGTCCAATGGAATCAAAGTACTTCTTTTGTGTGTCCCGTGTAAAGTTGATAAGTGCATATGCTCCCAAACAACTTTGAGTGGAGTCGTTCGAAAAGAAGTTTCTATGGCCCCCTTGCTCATTTAACACTGCATCCGGGTGCCTATGGAAATACAGCGACCCTTGCTCACTTATCACTGTGCTCGGGCCACACAGCGCGCCACTTACGGGTGACGCCCTAGCTTTAGTGCGATTTCGTTCTGAATTCATTTTCATAAGGATTCGACGTGACTGTGGAGTGCCAGCTGTCGACTACCTGACGCCCTCCCCCTCCTCCTTTACCCGGGCTTGGGACCGGCCATGTAAGATAACTTAGGGAGTTACATAGGCAACAAATCATCTATTCCTCTAGAAGTCAACCATCACAATCTGTAATAATAACAGAATCGGGCTGCCAAAAACCAAACGATAACATTTTCTAGGGACAGAAGAAAACTCAAACATATAGCATTATAGTCTGGCCCACCAACTACTCACATGGGCAAGAAAATAGAGTATAACAAAAACGATAAAATTCACATTGCTACATGCAGTAAAATGCTTGTACCCAGAACACTTATGTGCAAATTGTGCATGTGAAGACACTAGAAGCAATTTAATAAAAGGATATCTTAAATGCAGCAAATGCTCGTTTCTCGGTTCGACGAAGGAGGCGTTCTGCATCCTCCTCAGCTTCCATCTGCTCCTTGAGATATAGCAGGTCATCACTGTCCAAGGCTGTATATGCAAACTTACAACAGATTGCAATAAAGTAAAGAGCTAAACATACAGAGATTCAAAATGGGCTGTCGTGTGCCTGAATCCACTTGTGGGTTCAAGGCTTCAAGCACACATGTAGAGACATAGAAACAGAGATGCTTAATGTAGTTGTTGTGTGTGCCCTGAATGCACATGAGAGGGGGAGAGAGGGGGGGAGAGAGAGTACCGCCTCGGCCATGAAGGTATCCTCCGCGTTCTCCTGCAACCTCTTGCATCTGCTTGCATTAACCACCCAATAGAAAAAGCCAAGATCCCTGCCAGGGCATGTTATCAGAAAACTCTTCTCAAAGTTTGAAGAAAGTGCATATTCATAGATGCAAGTGAGGTAGAAACTACAGCGTACCATAAATTTACGTAGAATACTCCTAAATCACCCATAATTCCAGAATAAAAATCAATCATCAATAATGAACTAATTCTAGTTAACTTTACCAATAAAAGGCATGAGAGAACACAAACATGCTAATAGCTCTCATATATGAGATCTAACCACTGCAATCCTTTATCCCATACAAACCAGAGAGAAACAAATTCAAAACTGATAATGTTTTACATTTTAATTGTATAACTAAGCTGTAATTGTATGCCCTTTTATTTCTGATCGTTTCAAATTTACATGGTTATAACTGAGAAACATCAACATTATAAATTTATCACAAATAGTCTTTTGGAGACTGGTAATAGAAATTTGATGTTAACAGTTGTGCAGAGTAGAATCTGAAAATACAAACATGATACTTGAAAATAAAATTAGAGACGAAACAGAGTTTGCAGTAATCATGTAGATTATCGAAATACTGGAAAGTTTCAGTGTCTTTAAATCCATCCAACCGACGATGGACCCAAGTGAAAATAGTAAAAGAAAAAAAAAAGGAAGAAAAAGAAATGGAGGTAAAAGAAAGCCCTAACCTTGGCGACCATGCGTTGGAATGTGATGTCTTCGTCGTCGATCTTATCCTTCCCTTTCCCCCACTTCTTATCTGCCAATGATGGCCACAAACAATCATCAATTCATCAATTCAAGATTCATCAAAACCGAACAACAACGAAAGACAAAAAGAAAGAAGCAATTAATTGCGGGAAAAAGAAGAAATACCTTTTGGGTCGGTGAGATTGGTGTACTCTCGAACTTCTCTGCCTGCCATTGCGCTGCACTCGTCGTTTTATCTGGAGGATGAAGTGCAGTACCAGATAATTAATTGAAATTCCCAATTCTTTTCTAATTAGGGTTCAGAGGCCAAATGATGAGACTCTTCCAGTTTCGGAGTCAGCTCCTGCTTTGTTAATCTGGACAACACAAGATATCAACTCCGATCGAATGAAGCAAACAAACAACAAATTTTATGGAAGGAAAGTCGGACGAAATTTAAGATTATTAAAAGAGTTTTTTTTTTTTTTCGAGAAAGTATTACAGTATTAAAAGAGTTTATATAAAAAGAAAATTAATCAAAATAACTTGAAAATTTTGAATTTTAACGATAAGAATAAAATAGAGGGTAAAGTGAATAGTATCATAATTGACTTTTTTGTGTGAAAATATGGTTTTTCGTTAAAATGAACAGTACATGGAGTTTTTCGTTAAAATTCTTTTTTTAAAATGATGAAAGTTTATTTTTTAAAATTTACGAATTTTTTTGTTTGGTTGACTTAAATGAAATGAAATTTGAATACAAAATTTGTTATTTTTAAACTCTCGCTCATAAAAATTTGGAATTGACACACATTTATTTACATGGAATTTAAACTTGACAATCAAAAGTCTCCAATTCTAGGCTTTTTTATTTTCATGCGAAAATTCTAAATTTCTATGTTTATAAATCTAAACAAGGGAATTGATACATGTTAATTTATAAATTCTGATTTTTGTTAATTCCAAGTTTATTTCCTTTATCCAAACATAATGCAAGTTTATTCTCCTCTACATATGATATGGGTCAACTTTAGTAAATCTCAACCTTTGGTTTTTATGACGTGAAACTTGCGGCTTTGATGAGTTTTGGAATGAATTATAATGAATCCAGATACTTGTTGGGTCCTCTTTGTGATGATTTGAGAATCCGTCAATCGTATATGTTCATCGTACATCATGCAGTCAGAAATTATTTTAAATTTTTATTTAAAATTAAACACAAATAGTATCTGACAAAAACTGACCACACGATGTACAATTAACGAACATAATTCACGGATCCCCAGGATCCTCACAAATAGGATCCGGAGAGGATCCTGTTGAAATTATAATATATTATGGGTGTTTTTTTCTTTTTTCTTTTTTAGCGATACAAACGATATATTTATATTTGGTTGCCCATTGTGTGGCTTAGCCGTTCTTCTCCCCTTAATGTAAAAATATATTGATGTACTAAAAAAAACCGATATATTTACATTTGAGAGTGGAGAAATAAATTGGTACTAAAAATGTTGTTCACAAGATCTGAACTTAAAAAGCCTCTCACTTCAAATGAAAAACAATATTACTAAATCGCAGTACTAAGTGAAAAAATATATGTTTTTTGTACCCCCAAATTGTGTCTCTAGATGTCCTTGATTCTCTGAACACCTAATTTACTTGGCACATTTTTTTCTGACACCCAAAATAATTTATTAAACTTCCAAGAATACTTTGTTTTACTTTTTTATAAATACAATTTTCTTTTGACACCCATACAATCGCGTTGAACATGTTGTCTCGTCGCCTTCACGAATGACACCTACCTTTTTGTCATCTTGTACTCCAACCACAGCAGCGAGTCTGTGTGCTCCAACGCCGTTCAGATCTTGTCTGAGTCCCGCTTCGAAAACCCGACAGTCCTGAAAACCTTGTTCAGGTGGTCCAGGTTTAGCTTTGCGATCGTGAGGTGGAGGTTGAAGCCTAGTATTGGTTGGTAATTAGGGAGCAGCAATACGAGAGGGTCAGGAACGAGGAGATCGTGGAGGATGGCGTGGCGATCAAGTTTCTAGTTGGCATTGGAGTCCATGCTTGAGAATGCTGTTAGTATCCTAGTAATTTGGATCAACCTTGACCTGTGCTAAAGGAAGAATGGTGAGAATGGAAGAAGGAGAAAGATGAATCCAATAGAATAGTATTTTTCTGATTAAATTCAATATGACCGTTGCCACCACAAATGTGGGGAATTTAATAACCTTCTTGCTAGCTCACTGAGTGTGTGAGCTCCAACTCATCACTAAAAGACAAAACCTATTCAAATGACCCCTTAAACTAACTACTATTATAATAAAACCCCAGAGATCCCTTACAATGTCATCCTAACACTTGTGATAAAAGCAATTAGAATTACAAGGAACATAACAATACTTCTCCCTTCAAGAACCTTGTCCATAAGGTTTACAAAGAAAATTTTGGAAACTTGGCTTGGAAATCATCAAAATCTTCCCAAGTAGCATCAGCTTCTTCTTGATCAATCCAGTGAACCATCAATCGAACACCCACTGAGTTGGCCTTCTTATACATCATTCGAGCTAGAATCTTCTTTGGAGATGGTTGAGATAGACCATCCTCTCAAACCTAAAGGAGTGTGGATTGTACAACAGTATTGGAACCTATATGCCTTTTGAGATTGCTCATATGAAATACTGGATGTATTTTGCTTTCCACAGGGAGTCTTAATCGGTATGCAACTAAGCCAATCTTCTCTGTCACCTCATATGGCCCATAATATCTCGGCTGTAACTTGCGATAACTATGTGGTGCCAGTGATTGTAGCTGATATGGTATCAGTTTCAAATATACTGAATCTCCCACAAAAAATTGCCTCTCACTCATCTTCTTATATGCTTGCACCCTCATTCTGTTTTAAGCTTTTACCAAGTTGGAATGAAGCATAGATAACACCTTATCTCTCTCTAAAATGCCTTGTTCAATTGCATCCACATTGGTTGTACCTGGTTCATTGACAATGATATGTGGTGGTGGATAACCATACACAAGTTCAAAGGGATTAAACCGAGAAGAGGTGTGGTAAGATGTATTAAACCACCATTCGGCCTAAGCAAGCCATTTGACCCAATTCCAAGGTTGTTCCCGCACAAAGCATCTGAGATAAGTTTCGAGGCATCGATTCATAACCTCAGTTTGTCCATCACTTTGAGGATAATAACCCGAACTCATACAGAGTTTAAACAGCTGGAGCTTAAAAAATTCCTTCTAAAATGCACTGATAAAGATGGGGTCTCAATCACTAACGATGGAGTTAGGCATCCCATGCAATTTAAAGACATGATCAATGAACACTTGGGCAACAGTGGAGGCAGTGTAGGGGTGAGATAAGACTATGAAGTGGGAATATTTAGATAGCCTATCTACCACGACCATTATCACAAATTTTCCCTTGCATAGTGAAAGGCCAACTATGAAATCTATACTGATATTGGTCTATACCTTAGTTGGTATAGGCAAGGGTTGCAGCAATCCTGGAGGAGAAATCATCTTATATTTGTTTTGTTGACAAGTGTGACAGGCAGCAATGAACTGCCTAATGTGTTTCTTCATACCTTGCTAATAAAACTATTTTTTTCAATTTGTGATAGGTTTTAACCACTTCTTGGTGTCCAGCAGCTGGGGTAGAATGATACTCCTTAATGAGTTTGCATATCCATTTTGAATCAGAGCTTAGCACAATCTGTTTCTTATAGCACAAGAAACCATTCTCAACGAAAAATTTACCATGGGCAGAACTATCTACACCAGTATGGGCACTGTCCCTAACTTTCTTTATCTTCTGCAAGATCCATTCATCACCCTTATTAAACTTCATTTAGTCACCCAACCAGCCACTATAAGAATAGGAAATGTGAGCACATTTAGTAGACTCGGTGGCATTAAGGTCTTGGGGGTGTGGAAACACCTTGAACCCTTGATAATGCATATGCAACCACATAGGCCTGCCCTACTTTATACTGGATCTCGTAATCAAACACCAATAGTTTAGAGACCCATTTCTGTTGGAAGGTCGTATTAGCCCTTTGATTCAAAAAGTACTTCAAACTATGTGGTCGATCTTGATAATAAAATGCCTCACTTGAAGGTAGTTTTTCCATTTCCTTACTGCATAGACTATAGCAATGAGTTCCTTCTCATAGGTGGACAGAGATTGGTTCCTTGGCTCAAGTGATTGGCTAGCAAAGGCAATTGGTCTTCGACCTTGTTGTAGAACTGCACCAATTCTCAACCCTGAAGCATCACACTCAATTTCAAAAGGCATAGAAAAATCAAGAAGGGCAAGGACCTGTGGGGATAACATTACTTCCTTCAACTTAGCAAATGCAAGTGCAGCACCCTCAGACCACTGGAAGGCATCTTTTTTGGTTAATTCATACAAGGGTTGACAGATTCCCCCATAACTTGGAATGAATTTCCTATAACAACTTGTTAAACCAAGAAAGACTCTCAACTGTTTAACAGTGGTTGGGGTAGGCTAGTCTCGGATTGTCTGCAACTTGGATGGGTTAGCCTCAACCCTATTTTTGGATACAATATGCCCCAAATATTCCACCCTCTGCTGACCTAGGGAACATTTAGACATTTTAAGATACAACTGGTGCTGTTGTAGTACCTAAAAAACAATCTTCAAATGTGCCAAGTGCTCAGACCAATTTTTGCTATGAATTAAGAGGTCATCAAAGAAAACCAATACAAATTTCCTAAGGTGTGGTTTGAACAGGTCATTCATTAAGTTTTGAAAGGTGGCCGGGGCATTAGTAAGCCCGAATGGCATCACCAAGAACTCATAATGTCCTTCATGAGTTTTAAAAACAGTCTTTTCAATGTCTCCAGGGTGCATTAGAATCTGATGATATCCAGATTGGAGGTCTAACTTAAAGAAGTAGACATCACCAAAAAGCTCATCTAGGAGATCATCGATTAAGGGAATATGGTACTTATCCTTAATAGTAAGAGCATTAAGTTCCTGGTAGTCAATACACATCTTCCAGGTGCCTTCCTTCTTCTTCACCAAGAGGATAGGGAAAGAGAAAGAGCTGCAACTAGGTCGAATGAACCTTGCAGCAAATAATTCCTCCACAGCCTTTTCAATTTCTGTTTTCTGGAGTGGACCATAATGATAAGGTCGAATGTTAGGGGGTTGTGCTCCAGGTACTAAGGGAATGGGATGATCATAAACTCAGGAATGAGGCAGCTTTGAAGGGACCTCAAAGATGCCTGCAAAAGCTTCGAGGAGATGTTAGAGATCTTGTTGTTGAAATGTGGAAAGGTCAGAGGCCTTATTCTTCTTGCCCTCTATGGAATACAGGAACAATCCCAAATTTGAGTTGTGAAGCTCATTTTCTAATTGTTGAAGGGAAACCTTTCAAATTAAGGGGGGCAGTGAGAGGCATGTGGAATAGCTTTTATGTATGATTGTTGCGAGT